GCATTCTCACTAATCTGGTTATAGGGAAATTACTCGTACTCTGTTTATTTCCCAACAACTGGTAATCAGAGCTTTTGGTTGTGAATTTTATCAAATTTTTTTGCGAGGTTACTATTCATTACTATTCACATAAATAATGATTTTTGTGAATGGTGAATTTTGTGAATAGTAAAAATTTTGTCGGCTATACGAATTTCTCGACGGAGGTGTTCTAATACACGGTGGTTTTGCAGAAATTGTCAGAAACGATCCAAAAAAGCCAGATTCGAGTGGAGGTGATGGCTGCAAACGAAGGGAATGTGAAAATTGAGAAGTTCGATGGTGCGGACTTTGGCTTTTGGAAGATGCAGATTGAGGATTTTTTGTACCAGAAAAATCTATATCAACCTCTCTCAGAAAAGCAACCAGAGGGCATGAAGAATGAAGACTGGGTTCTTCTCGCCAGACAACCCCTCAGAGTTATCCGACTGACGTTGTCCCAAAATGTTGCTTTCAACATAGCAAAAGAAAAGACCATGGCGGGTCTTATGGCGGCTCTCTCTAGTATGTATGAGAAGCCATTCGCCTCAAACAAAGTTCATTTGATGAGGCGATTATTCAATTTGCGGATGGCAGGAGGGGCATCAGTGGCTCAACACCTAAATGAACTCAACACAATTACAACCCAGTTGAGTTCCGTGGAAATTGAATTCGATGATGAAGTTCGAACTTTAATTCTCTTATCATCTCTACCAGACAGTTGGAATGCTACTGCTACATCAGTTAGTAGCTCGTCGGTAAATAGTAAATTGAAATTCGACGATGTTCGGGATTTGGTACTGAGCAAAGAAATTCAACGGAGAGAATCGGGTGAAGCATCAACCACTTCAGCCTTGCACACAGAGTCCAAAGGGAGAACTCCAGAAAGAAATTGAAATCGTGGCAGATCCAAATCTAGAAGGGGAAAATCAAGAATGGGAAAGAAAGATTTTACCTATTATAACTGCGGCAAGAAGGGTCACTTTAAAAGAGATTGTCGAGCACTGAAGAAAAATACCAGTGCATAGGAATCTGCCAACTTGACAGAGGAGACAGGTGATGCCATGATTCTAAGCGTCAACAGTCTGATTGAATCATGGATCTTGGATTCAGGGGCATCTTTCCACTCCACCCCATGCCGAGAAATCATGGAGAACTATGTCAGTGGTAATTTTGGGAAGGTTCATCTAGCTGATGATGAAACCTTGAAGATCGTCGAAAAAAGAGACATCCGACTAAAGTTGCCAAACCAAACCACCTGGACGCTGAAAGGAGTGAGACATATTCCTGTCCTCAAAAGAAATCTGATTTTTGTAGGACAACTTGATGGAGAAGATTATAGTACAACTTTTTCAGACTGTGAATGGAAGATTACCAAGAGCAATCGTCATTGCTCGTGGTAAGAAGACCGGTACTCTCTATGTAACCTCAAACTTAGAGAATATCATTGCTGCAGCATATGCTGATGAAAAATCAAACCTATAGCACCAAAGGCTTGGCCATATGAGCGAGAAAGGGATGAAGACACTTTTATCAAAAGAGAAGCTGTCGGATCTAAAGAGAGTAGATGTCGGACTATGCGAGGATTGTATCTTTGGCAAACAAAAGAAAGTCAGTTTTGCAAAGATTGGCAAGACACCCAAGGCAGAAAAGTTAGAGTTGGTTCATACTGATGTATGGGGACCATCTCCAGTTCCATCTCTTGTAGGCTCATTATATTATGTCACCTTCATCGATGATTCTACGAGGAAGGTTTGGGTTTATTTTCTAAAGAAGAAATCAAAAGTCTTTGCCTTGAGAAAATGGAAGGTCATGGTGAAAAATGATACTGGTTTGAAATTCAAGCGGTTGAGGTCTGACAATGGAAGAGAGTACAAAAATAGTAGATTCAGAGATTTCTGCACAAACAATGGGATCAAGATGGAGATAAAAATTCCCATGACACCGTAGCAGAATGGCTTAGCAGAGCGCATGAACAGAACTCTGAATGAACGTGCCAGAAGCATGAGGATACATGTCAGATTGCCCAAATTTCTATGGGCTGAAGCTATCAACACTGCAACTTACCTGATCAACCGTGGTCCCTCAGTTCCTTTGGATGCAGAATACCAGAGGAAGTTTAGAGCAAGAAAGAAATAAACCTTTCATACTTAAGAGTGTTTGGTTGTATTTCTTAAGTACACATAGACTCTGCTTAAAGAAGTAAACTTGATGCTAAGTCCAACAAATGTGCCTTTGTTGGTTATGACGGTGAAGAGTTCGGTTACCGGTTTTGGGACTATGAAAATCGGAAGATCATCAAAAGCAGAGATGTCATTTTCAATGAGAATGTGATGTACAAATACAGGGCAACCATAGAATCAAGTAGCTCCAATACCAAAGCTGAAACAAAGGAATTTGTTGAGTTTGAGAAGATTTTTGGAAATGATGTTCATATCAATCCTGAAGCAGATCAAGAAGAACCACGCACACCAGAATTGAGATGCTCCTCCAGAATTCCTAAATCAACTCAGCGTTATTCGCCTTCTTTGTACTATTTGTTGCTGACTGACAATGGTGAACCATAGTGCTATGATGAAGCAATGCAGGTGGAGGATTCAGTCAAGTGGGAGTCTTCCATGAAAGATGAGATGGACTTGCTTATGTCAAATCATATATGGGAATTAGCTGGATTACCATCAGACAAGAAAACGCTCCATAACAAGTGGATTTACAGGATCAAAGAAGAGCACGATGGGAGCAAACGCTACAAAGCGAGATTGGTTGTCAAAGGTTTTCGGAGAAAAGAAAGTATTGACTACAATGAAATTTTCTCTTCAGTCGTGAAACTGTCTACAATCAGACTGATGTTGAAAATTGTAGCTGCAGAAAATCTACATCTTGAGCAGTTAGATGTAAAGACAGCTTTACTTCATGGTGATTTGGAGGAAGAAATCTATATGAGGCATCCAGAAGGTTTCATAGAGGCAGGCAAGAAAAACCTGTTATGCAGGTTGAAGAAGAGCTTGTATGGTTTAAAACAAGCTCCTAGACAGTGGTACAAGAAGTTCGATAGTTTTATGGGTAGCAGTGGTTTTACCAAATGCCAAGCAGATCATTGTTGCTGCATCAAGAAGTTCGACAACAACTTCATTATTTTATTGTTGTATGTTGATGACATGCAAGAGATTATAAACTTGAAGCGAAAATTGTCGAAGCAATTTGCAATGAAAGATCTGGGCGCTGCAAAGCAGATTCTTGGGATGAGGATTAAGAGAGACACAAAGTCGGGGACTTTGATGTTATCACAGGCTGAGTACATCAACAAAGTACTCTCCAAGTTCAACATGCAAGATGCTAAACCAATAAGTACACCTTTAGGTGTTTATTTTAGACTCTCCAAAGAACAATCACCAAAGAAGGAGGAAGAACGTGCACACATGGTGAATATTTTGTATGCCTCAGTAATTGGAAGTCTAATGTATGCCATGGTTTGTACTAGACCAGATATTGCTCATGCAGTGGGAGCTGTTAGCAGGTACATGAATAATCCAGGCAAGGTACACTGGAAGCAGTCAAATGGATCCTCAAATATCTGCGGGGTACCACAAACAAAGCACTATGTTTCAAAGGTGGAGATACGATACTGACAGGCTATGTAGATGCTGACTTAGCCGGAAATGTTGACATCAGAAGGTGCAGTACATGGTATGTCTATACTCTAGGAGGTACTGCAGTGAGTTGGGTTTCTCAACTACAGAAGATAGTTTCTCTCTCCACAACTGAAGCAAAATATGTAGCTGTTACGGAAGTCAGTAAGGAGATGGTCTGGCTCCAAAGTTTCTTGGAAGAGTTAGGCAAGAAACAAGAAAACAATGTCTTGTATTGCGACAGTCAAAGTGCTATCCATCTAGAAAAGAATCCATCTTTTCATTCCAGGACGAAGTACATATAATTGAGATATCATTTTATCCGATCTCTTCTGGAAGATGGGATTTTGAAACTTAAAATGATTAGTGAAGCTCAAAATCCGGCAGACATGTTGACAAAGATGGTGACTACAGACAAACTGAAGTTGTGTTCAACTTCAGTTGGCATGCTAGAGTAACAAGACTAGAAAAGCTGTTGCATTGATCGAGGTGTGAAGACATATTAAAATCAGTTTTCAAGTGGGAGATTGTTAAAAGTTCAAAGTTTGGCAACCAACTTTGAAAAAATGGTTTTCAAAGTTTGGTAAATGTTTCTTTGAATATGGTTTTCAAAGTTTGGTAAGTGTTTCTTTGAAAAATGATTTTTCAAAGTTTGGTAAATGTTTGTTGAAAAATTGTAATGGGATAATTATAATTAGTCACTGGACTTTAGGGTATTTATAAGATTAGTCCTTAAGCTTCAACTATAAATACCCTAACCCATTTAGCTTCAAAATCATCCCAAAAAATAATTTCTTTCTCCCAATACTAGAGAGCTTTCTTGTGAGTAGTGAGTGTTTTGTAAACACCTATAAATTTTCTCTCTTAATAAAAGATCTGCAGCAGTCCGGAGACGTATGCATAATTGGCTGAACTCCGTTATCAATTTCGGGTATTATTTTTCCATTTTTATTTCACATTTTCACTTATCTGGTTATAGAGAAATTACTCGTATTCTGTTTATTTCCCAACAATTGATTCACAGATTCGGTATAAAATTATCGGGTATTTTGAAACTACGTTGGTGTGGGAAATAACCCGGTTTCCCCAACAAGGAGGTGACACCATTTTTCACTGTCTCAACTCCATTAATATGGCCTTTTGCTTTTGCCATCCTCTATGCCACAAACTCCAAATATCGAAAAGAAATCTTTTTGAGAAGTCATTGAGATTCCCCGATTCTAATTCTAAACGCCCCCACATATATTTATTGAGATCGACATTCATCAACCTCTAAAACCATATATAGCATAAACAAAATCCCAACTTACAAGATTCATATATATATTTCTCTTCCTGGGAATTGCCTCGTGAAAAATGGATCGTTATGAGATACTGAAAGATATTGGTTCAGGGAACTTTGGTGTTGCAACGCTGGTTAGGGATAAATGGAGTGGTGAGTTTTATTCTGTCAAGTATATTGAAAGAGGACCCAAGGTACTGCTTTTCTTCATCATCTTCTATATGTTTGCTTTTTTTACTCGTAGGCTAATCTGAGTTTTTTGCTTTTGTTTGTTTTGAGTTTATGGATTGATTTCATGGGTTTGCTTGGTTATGCAGATCGATGAACATGTTCAAAGGGAAATCATGAACCATAGGTCTTTGAAGCATCCAAATATAATCAGATTCAAAGTGGTCAGAGTTCTTCAAAGTACAGAATGAATGAGTTTCCAGAGAAAAACCAGAGTTGTTTTGAACTTAACAGGCTTTAAAATGGTTCATCTTTTGTTCTGTTTTAGTTCATCAGTTCTTCAATTTCTTGCTTATTTTTTGCCTTGCAGGTGTTATTAACACCAACTCATCTTGCCATAGTCATGGAATATGCTGCTGGTGGAGACCTTTTTGAAAGGATATGCAATGCTGGTAGATTTAGTGAGGATGAGGTGAGTACATATTTCGTTTTTCTTCATGTTTGAATTTCATTGAGCTTTTTGTTTTCTTTAAGAACTGTGATTTGTGATTGTTTTGCTGAATCAGGCAAGGTTTTTATTTCAACAACTGATATCGGGAGTGAGTTATTGCCATGCAGTGGTAAATATGCACCAATGGATCCCTCTAATTCTGAAAGTAGTTTACCTTTTCTGCCTTTCTTAAGCTAAATCGAGATTATTTTCCCGACTTCTGCAGCAAATTTGTCATAGGGATCTTAAGCTGGAAAACACGCTATTAGATGGGAGCACTGCATCGAGACTCAAAATATGCGACTTTGGCTACTCTAAGGCAATGAACCTATACTAATTATTCAGCATCAATCTGTTTTATTTGCTAAATAAAGTTATGTTACTCGGACTCGGATAAACATATCGAAAGAGTGTTAGATATGGGTGTTGAAAACAGAATTAAGAGTCCGAACAACATAGCTCTAAAGTCAAGTTATTAACTTTCTACTGTATGTTTCAGTCAAGTGTGTTGCATTGCCAGCCCAAATCAACAGTAGGAACCCCAGCTTATATTGCACCAGAGGTCTTGTCTAAAAAAGAATATGATGGGAAGGTAAATTCTTATTCTTATTAAGTTTTTTCCCCGTTCAAAAACATTCCGATTTTCGAATTGGATTGTCATATTCGACTCAACCACTCCTAAGAAAAAGAAAGCTTCGAAAAAACATTTTGGAAAAATTTTAGGTTGCAGATTTTTGGTCTTGTGGGGTTACTTTGTATGTCATGTTGGTTGGGGCTTCTCCTTTTGAAGACTCTGAAGATCCAAAAAATTTCAGAAAAACAATTCAGGTTAGTTGATATCAGTAAGATCCATGCATAATGTAGATATTACTAATTAGACCCGAAAAGGTATTCGATATATATCCGAACATGAAAACTTTTATTAAAAAAATTAAAATATACCCGTATTAGATACATACTCGTATATTCTTTATCCGATCACCATATTTTTTTTCAGAGGATAACTATACCAGAAATCAAACAGCATCCCTGGTTTCTAAAAAACTTGCCAAAGGAGTTCATGGAAGGAGGCAACATGGAAAACAGAGAAGAAAGTGAAGATGTATCACAGTATTGAAGAAATATTGTGTGTAATCGACGAAGCAAGGAAAGGCGGTGAAGGTCCAAAATTTGGCATTGGCAATGGATTACTAGGTAGTAGCATGGATCTCGATGATGACCTTGTGCGGATGCAGACATTGGTGATTTAGAGACGAGTGGTGATTTTGTGTGTATTAAGAGCGTGAGTTTTGAAAACAGTTATGTATGAAAACTTTTGAGAACCAATCTTTACTGAAAATTCAAATAAAAGAAGAAGAAAAGCAGCGTATGGTTTCATTGATGATGATGATGTTTCATTTGCATCAAGGCATTATAATAATCGAATGCTGGAAAGTGGTAATTGTTAAATGCTGTAAAGGTCTAAATACTGATGGGTGGATAATATATCGATATAGTGGTCGTGGTCGGGTCGGGGTCGTAGTCGTGGTCGTGGTCGTGGTCGTGGTAATACGTGTCTTTGACACGTCCGCGCGGATACTATCTTTTTAGAGAAAATTCTTAAGAAACAAAATCCTTTTTTTAAACTATCGCAACGCGAACTGGAAAATCGCAACGCGAAATGGAAAATCGCAACGCGATTTTCAACTATCGCAACGCAATTTTCAATTATCGCAACGCGAAATGCAACGCGAATTTGCGATAGTGGAGATCACAATGCGAATTAGAGAACGCATTGCGATTTTGTTGGTCTCCCAACTATACTGTTCTTTTTGTTGAGTCTCCCTACTATTAGAAGCTACAAAATGATCACTCTACTATTCTATATTCTAAATCTGCCATTTTTCAATAAAAGAACTTGCGACTGTCTGAGTTGGATGTTAACGTATTGATTGAGATATGATAGTCGTTTGATATTATGAGATCAAATTTTAGCATATCTCAATCAACATATGGATAGTCGGATGACTATTTGGTAATTTTTTACGATTGTTCAGCTCAGACTACCATCAATTTTTTTAACGAAAAAGGACGAGTTTGAAACATATGGATAGTCCGGTGACTATTTGGTACCTTTTGATAGTCAAGGACTCAACAAATCAACACTCTATACTTGAAGGACAATTTTGTAATTTTTAATAGTCGAATGACTCAACAAAGTAACACCCTATAATCGATGGACCATTTGAGCACTTTACCCAAAAATATACAACTAGTTAGTAGTTAATCCAATTCTTTTTAATTATTAATAGGAAAAATAACGGTATTAGTAACTAACTTATTATTATTTCTCTATTTGGGTTTTTTTTACAAAATCACTGTTAATATTATGTTTGTCTTTCTATTTTGGTCATCGATAGTTAAAAAATTAATGATCATCCGTCATGGATTCATTTTTTTTTTAATTTTTTTATATCCTTTCTCTTCACACATCAACACTTATGTGTTACTTTCCCTTATATGATCCAATTTTTAATTTTTACTTTTATATCCTTTCTCTTTTTTTTTCAACACTTCATATGTTATTTTTTTCCTTTTATTTATTCGATTAATAAAGTGATAACATATTATTATCTTATTATACATATAAAATAAGAAAAATGTTGTTATTAGTGATCGAAGGGAGTGTCAGAACCAAGTCCTATGGTATAGCTATATATGATTTTACAAAAACTTCTAATACATATGGTGTGTGTGTTTGTGTGTGTGTTTGTGTGTGTATATATATATATATATATATATATATATATATATATATATATATATATATATATATATATATATATATACTAATAGAACAATTGAACATATACATACTGGGCATCCATCCTTAAACTAGCTTTACAATCCCACATCGAAATTGTATTAATTATTGTAGGTTATTATATGAATATTAAAAGGAAAAAAAGCTTTCTTTTGGCTACAAATTACTTGTTTTTATTACTGACGCTCATGGAAGACCATTGTTTATATACATAAGCGAAGTGGTGGAACTACGTGGTACTCAATAATGGAGATCTAACAATGGTGGAAAGCATTGACAGAGTTTGTCAATGTCAATTATGACATATGATTAGGGAAGAGAACTTAAGGGGAGAGGGGCCAATCAAATGCAGCATCGTCTAAATCGAAGCCGTCATAGAACCTTATTTCCACGTCTTCCATGCTTTGGTCATCGTGCCGATCTCCGTCTGATATTTCATCATCATAATCAGAACCGACATTTCCGGTGACAAAGTCCCAGGCCAAGTAACCGGATGTGACTGAATAATTTGAACAATAATCACAGCCTTTCATCCCCAAATAATCGACAACAAGAGGTACGACAACTTTCAGTCGAGAGAATTTCTTGATAAATTTCTGGTCTAGCTTCACATTCCAACAGCCTCGAACATCCAATAATTCAAGCTCAGGACAGGTTTCAAGTACCTTAAGCACACCTTCCGTGCTAATAAGCGGGTATGCCACCTCGAGTTGCTTGAGCTTTGGCATCGTCATAGCAATGGCAAAGGCCTCATCGTCTTGAGACAGTTTATCGATTACCTCTAAAGGGTGCATTGTTCTCCTCAACCCCATTAGTAGCTTACAGTGCTTGCCAGAGCTGGAGCTCCGATGTTCCTGCAGTAACTAACATCCAAGAAAGTTACTGAAGAAAGCCTCCCAGCAACCTGTTCCACTATTGAATCGCTTATTTCGCTTCATGGCAGCCGTAAAGTCTGAAGAGATTTGGCACTAGAAGCAGGGAAGAATGAGTAAATAATAGCAGCAATAATCAAATTCACAATATCCACAATCGAGTTGCTAAATAAAACGGAATGTGACCATTATGCGCTGACAGTAGAATTCGATTCAGATTCTTTAGAAACTTTACGACTATGATTGTTATTATCCCCTAATCTATTAGTAAGATACTTAACATACGGAACATCAATAAAATCACAGCCAAAAATGAAAAATATAAGCAGGTTCATCCAACCATGTATTAGTTTTTGGTCTAGTGTTGGTTGCCTTGGCTAATAAATGGCAGCATTTTCCCATTAAATCTAGTGTTCTTCAGTTCTTCCATAAATTTCATGCAAAGGGATATGAACATATAATGCAATTGAAAGACATGTTCGTACTTATCCGCGATGAACGAAAAGCTCTCATCATTAGCTAGACCGGTAACACAGATTTTTGAGTGAACCTGAGCTTCTAGTTATCAGCATTCGAAGCATCCGGTCGAGGGTTACGGTCCGGCATTGGTGGCTCAATTGTTCAATGTCAATGTCCCGCCAACAATACGGTCTTGTAACCGTCCTCCGCCACGATTTGCAGACCCTCGGGACAATAGTAAGTATTTCCTGAAGTGAAAGATTCTTGAAAATCAGCCCCAAGGCATCCGGAATCAATTCATTCCAGCATCTGAAATCGTCATTATCTTCCATCAAATCCATGTTTCCCTTCCAGCTAAAGCATAACTAAATATGAATCTGCAAGCAGTTAACAAATATAACTAAAATAGAAATATAACTTTAAGTCTGTAACAGAGGATCCAACTATAGTCACTTTTTATTTGAATATTAATTTTAAAATTTTGTTAATCATTCTATTCAATTAGATCACTGACCATTAACATTTAACGAAAGTATTGATATAGTAGTTAATAAAATTAATATAATTACATATTTAATCGATGTTACTTATACATTCTATCAATTTAATCTTAATTTTAATAAATAAATAAAAATAAATTTAATTTTCAAATCAAATCATATCACTCATATTATGTTTCGTCACCCAAGAAGGAGCTAGGGGATTTCAACAAGCATCCTTCGAATAACAAAGGAAGCATCAAACACTAGGATAAGCCTATTTTATGGTTTATAATAGAATACATATTTTTTTAGTATAATCTTAAATTCTTAATATTAAATATATCTTAACTTAAAATCACATCTTAA